ACTATATACATATCAACAGTCATCACAGGACCAGAAATTAGGCTTACTGTATACATATCAACAGTCATCACAGGATCAGACATTAGGCTTACTGTATACCTATCAACGGTCATCACAGGATCAGAAATTAGGCTTACTGTCCACCTATCAACAGTCATCACAGGATCAGAACTTAGGCTTACTGTAGACCTATCAACAGTCATCACAGGAGTAGAAATTAGGCTTACTGTAGACCTATCAACAGTCATCACAGGAGTAGAAATTAGGCTTACTGTAGACCTATCAACAGTCATCACAGGATCAGAATTTAGGCTTACTCTATACCTATCAACAGTCATCACAGGATCAGAAATTAGGCTTACTGTATACATATCAACGGATCATAGTCTTAGTTCTGACATAAACAGGCCAAACCATGATTGAGTGAATCAAAAGTTATGGCCCAGACAATGAATCTGACCTTTGACCTAAATGTGACTTTGACCTTAGGTATACAGACCCATAGTGATACACTATGAAGTATAATGTGAAAGGATAGGGGTGGGGTTATGGTGATCTAGAGAATGAAGTATTTGGGGAGGGGTAGGGAGGTGGTTAAAAAGAGGAGGAAGAATTGAAATTTCTAGGGTTTTGAATATGGTGAAGTAAGGGATGAGGTTGTTTAGGAGGGGTAGAAGATGAAATTGTAAGGGGTAATTGGTGGTGAAGTTGTGTGTTTGGGGGTGGGGTTAGGGATGAAGGTGTGATGGTTACTGGGGTGGGGTTAGGGATGAAGGTGTGATGGTTACTAGGGTGGGATTAGGGAATGAAGGTGTGACGGTTTGGGGGGTGAGGTTAGGGAATGAATGTGTGAAGGTTTGGGGTGAGGTTAGGGGATGACGGTGTGACGGTTTGGGGGGTGAGGTTAGGGGATGAAGGTTTGACAGTTTGGGGGGTGAGGTTAGGGGATGAAGGTTTGACTGTTTGGGGGGTGAGGTTAGGGGGTGAAGGTGTGAAGGTTTGGGAAAAGGGAGTTGATGGGAAAAGTTTGAAAGGATCCCTGTAACACTGTTTAAAGCAGCATGTATCCTTAAGGATCCCTGTACCACTGTTTTAAGTAGCATGCCTCCTTAAACATCCCTTTACCACTGTTTTAAGTAGCAAGTTCTTTAAGGCCCACTGCTTTAAGCAGCATGCCTCCTTAAGGATTCCTGTATCATTTTTTTAAGTAGCATACCTCCTTAAGGATCCCTGTACCACTGTTTTAAACAGCATACCTCCTTAAACATCCTTTTACCACTGTTTTAAGCAGCATTCTTCCTTAATGATTCCTGTACCACTGTTTTAAGCAGTATAACACTTTAAGGATCCCTGTACCACTGTTTTAAGCAGTATAACACTTTAAGGATCCCTGTACTACTGTTTTAAGCAGCATGCCTCCTTAAGTATTCCTGTACAACTGTTTTAAGTGGCATAACTCCTTAGACATCCATGTACTACTGTTTTCAGTGACACCCCATTTAAGGATCCCTGTACCACTATTTTAAGTAACAAGCATCCTTAAGGATCCTTGCACCAGTGTTAAGTGGCATGCCTCCTTAAGGATCCCTGTTCCACTGTTTTAAGCAGCATACCTCCCTAAGGATCCCTGTACCACTATTTTAAGTAACAAGCCTCCTTAAGGATTCCTGTACCACTGTTTTAAGTAGCATGCCAACTTAAGGATATATCCTTAAGATTATAAGGATGTGATCAGTGTACGGACTTGTTATGTTTTGGACCCATGTTTTTTTTTTCCATTTTGGGTCTCTGTATGCCTTGTTTAACAATAAGTTTGCTTTAATAGACACCTATATCGACCTCATCCAATATTGTCATCTATTTGTCTTAATTAACATACCACCACCATTAACCAATCCTGTTGCTAGGTTACCAACAAATTACTCCATTTGATGGCCAGCCATTCAAGTTTTATCACCACAACTTAATAAAAGAGACTTATTTACTCTTTACGTGCAGCTATTTATCTTTTCCGTTATTGTTAGGATTTGTTAAGGACTTTCATTCTTCCGCCTTATTCAACTTCCTGTTCTCAATTTCCTCATTATAAATAGATCTTTTTTCTAAGAAAAGGAGAGCTGGCATCCTCCCTCTGGGTTCAGTATGTTTGGTAGGTGTAACGAAGTAAACTTCCTTTACACGTCTGTTCTAAGTTTTACAGAAGTGAAGAGCAACTGCTAAGAACTGTCTGTTTTGTGTTATGAAGAGGTCATTTTAATTACGCCTTTGTCTTGTGTTTTAAAGTACAGTTTTTAATAACTGTGTTTGCCCCTCCATTTGTAAATTTTTTAATTCCCACCACCTAAGAATGCTTCTAGCCAAATATGGTTGGTTTTCATCTCTTACTTTCAAAAAAGAAGTCACTTAATCAATATGGCAAAATTACCCCTTTTTGGACCCACCCCTCAGCCCCCCTGAGGAAGTCAGCCCCTTTATTTGTACAGTTTTGAATCTCGACCTACTCTTCCATGTTTCCAGTCAAATTTGGTTGAATTTAAATCAGTAGTTATGAAGGAGAAGTCTTTTGAAGAAATTGTTAATGGATGGACGATGGACGACAGACACAACAGTATGTATAAGCTCACCTTCAGAACAGTCCTGATAATGGAAGATGGACAACAGACACAACAGTATGTATAAGCTCACCTTCAGACCAGTCGTGATAATGGACGATGGACGACAGACACAACAGTATGTATAAGCTCACCTTCAGACCAGTCGTGATAATGGACGATGGACGACAGACACAACAGTATGTATAAGCTCACCTTCAGACCAGTCGTGATAATGGACGATGGACGACAGACACAACAGTATGTATAAGCTCACCTTCAGACCAGTCGTGATAATGGACGATGGACGACAGACACAACAGTATGTATAAGCTCACCTTCAGACCAGTCGTGATAATGGACGATGGACGACAGACACAACAGTATGTATAAGCTCACCTTCAGACCAGTCGTGATAATGGACGATGGACGACAGACACAACAGTATGTATAAGCTCACCTTCAGACCAGTCGTGATAATGGACGATGGACGACAGACACAACAGTATGTATAAGCTCACCTTCAGACCAGTCGTGATAATGGACGATGGACGACAGACACAACAGTATGTATAAGCTCACCTTCAGACCAGTCGTGATAATGGACGATGGACGACAGACACAACAGTATGTATAAGCTCACCTTCAGACCAGTCGTGATAATGGACGATGGACGACAGACACAACAGTATGTATAAGCTCACCTTCAGACCAGTCGTGATAATGGACGATGGACGACAGACACAACAGTATGTATAAGCTCACCTTCAGACCAGTCGTGATAATGGACGATGGACGACAGACACAACAGTATGTATAAGCTCACCTTCAGACCAGTCGTGATAATGGACGATGGACGACAGACACAACAGTATGTATAAGCTCACCTTCAGACCAGTCGTGATAATGGACGATGGACGACAGACACAACAGTATGTATAAGCTCACCTTCAGACCAGTCGTGATAATGGACGATGGACGACAGACACAACAGTATGTATAAGCTCATCTTCAGACCAGTCCTGATAATGGAAGATGGACAACAGACACAACAGTTTGTGTAAGCTCACCTTCAGACCAGTCGTGATAATGGACGATGGACGACAGACACAGCAGTTTGTATAAGCTCACCTTCAGACCAGTCCTGATAATGGACGATGGACGACAACCACAACAGTATGTATAAGCTCACCTTCAGACTAGTCGTGATAATGGACGATGGACGACAGACACAGCAGTTTGTATAAGCTCACCTTCAGACCAGTCCTGATAATGGACGATGGACGACAGACACAACAGTATGTATAAGCTCACCTTCAGACCAGTCATGATAATGGACGATGGACAACAAACACAACAGTATGCATAAGCTCACCTTCAGACCAGTCGTGATAAAAACTGTCTGTTTTGTAAGGTGAAGAGGTCATTTTTAATTACACATTTTTTTTGTTATGAAGAAGAACAGTTTTAACAACTGTCTACTTTTTGTTGTGATGACATTATTTTTACAATGCACCAGCAGTGAAGAATTTCATTATTGCCACGTTTATGATCGTATTAACATTCCGGTTGTCCCCAGGGCTTATCTAGCTGGGCATATACTGAAATTAAAGTTTCTAGAGGACAGGATGGTTATTTTTATTTATTCTTTGGTAACTTCAATCTTTTATTGGGAAATTTACTAAGCTAAGCAGGATTGTGGCCCTTCTCCTGACTCGTGGTTTGAGCTGTAAGCTGTCAGGAGTTCTCTCCCCTAACAGATTGAACCCTGTGGATGCTGCTTCAGCTGCTCTGAACACTGTTAGCCAACAAGGTTTAAATGCCAACAAAACCGGTTTCATACATAGCATGCATCAAATACATATCTCAATCAGGAGAAATATACACCAGAATAATATAACAACAACAGGTCTAGAGGGCCTGTATTGCTCATCTTGAAATTTAAGCAATCATGGGGAAAATGTTCTCAATAAATCTTGGGAAATGTAATGTAATGAAACATAAGTTACACTCACATACCAAGAGGGGTTTATCGCTCTCAGGCACTGAGAGGGAAAAAACACACTTACATACTCTGAGAGAAATATTACTCTGGTGTATCTAGATGGAAATATCAGAGGGAAATATTACACTTCTGTACACAGAGAGAAATATTACACTTCTGTACACAGAGGGAAATATTGCTCTCACATATCCAGAGAGAACTATCACCCTAACATACTCAGAGATATATTACACCCAGACTGAAAGATTACACACAGATAGAAATATTACACCCAGAGAGAAATTTACAACCGAAGAGAAATATTACTCTCACATACGCAAAGGGATCAGAAACAGCTGAGTCAGTGGTTGTTAGAAGGTCAGTATGGCGGTCCAATATTACGAGCTTGTAAAAACAAAACTTACCTGATCAGTGACGCCCACTACACCAACACTGATACCGAGGTTAGTCTTTGTGCTGACAGGATATTTATACTTGGTTCCTGTCTCCAGCTTCTGAACGCCTGCACTATTGGCAGAGGGATATGTCAACTCACCCTGTCAACACAAAAATATCTCATACAGTTCTGTGTAATAGAAATTCAAAATTTCATTAGCTAGCACATCCACTCTTAAGTTCTGACATCAACAATCATATCAAACACACGGTAAAACACGGGTCCTGTAATAACTGTTTGAAGGTCAAACAATGTGGTTGAGCTGTGTTAGAAATCCAGCAGGTATAAGTAGAGTTTAGGACTTTACTTCAATGAAGACGTACAAAAAAGCTATTCTGAACTTAAAAGAACATGTTTGATCTGATAAACATCATAATTTGGTTATACATTTGTACCAGCATCCAAGGTAAAGAATCTTAACCAGGGTACCTACAACTTAATCCTGGTGATGCTTCGTAAAGTCTGTCTGAAAGTGACCACGTTGTCCACCCAAGTAGGTACAATGAGACAGGAGTTATACAAGATTGTGTCTATGGACAGACAGTCGGACAGATTGTGTCTATGGACAGACAGTCTGACAGATTGTGTCTATGTACAGACAGTCGGACAGATTGTGTCTATGGACGGACAGTCGAATAGATTATGTCTATGAACAGACAGTTGGACAGATTGTGTCTATGGACAGACAGTTGGACATATTGTGTCTATGGACAGACAGTCTGACAGATTGTGTCTATGGACAGACAGTCTGACAGATTGTGTCTATGGACAGACAGTTGGACAGATTGTGTCTATGGACAGACAGT